AAAAAAAAAAAAAAAAAAAATAGAAAAATAAGATTGACAAGAGAGCTTGCCCTGTTCTTTTGGTTGAAGCACAAAAACGGAATTGAAATATCTGAATTTACATATATATATATATATATATATACGTATTGGTATAATGAATTTTCTTTTGTCAATGAAAAGCTTCGATTGTCGATGATGACAACGTCGTTCAACCTCGTCCCATTATTGTAATATCGTAATTCGAAATGATTCGATTTCAGGGAGGAAAAAGATCAAACTGACTGAGCGACGCTTTCGAATCATACCGTTCCGACAAAACGAACGTCTGCGAAACGGTGTGTGGCTAATTACCATCTTTTTTACGCTTTTGGTAACATCGAGAGATCTTCTAGCGAGAGGATTTCGTTTCACTTAAATTACCACGTTATATCATTGATAGAAAGGAAAAAAAAAAAGAAAAGGAGGGATGAGAAAGGCTCGATTTACACTTGTTGCTCGGCCGCGACTCTTTCCATAAATTTCGTTTAGCCAAGTTTCACGACGTTGTAGCAAAGAATATTGTTCTTCTTTTATAAGACATAAGAAACGACTCGTTACTGTATCGTATTACGGTTTACCACGGATTCTTATGCATTTTCCTAACTTTTATGCATACGTAATTCAGAAAAGTGAAAACCAGCTAGAAATTCGCAATAAGGGCACTATCGTGCATAAATGTTTGAACGCTTCCAAATTATTACGTCGTAACGAATCTTTTTAATTTAATCTCAACATATACGGTTAATAGATATTGATGAAAAAGAACAACCAATATTATAATAATTATAATAATAGGTGGCTGAAGACTGTTCTCTGCAGAGTCTGTTCATTGTTGAAATGTTTCTCGAACCAAAGGTAGTTTAAACAAATCTGACAAAGCATCAGTTATTTATAATATTGAAAATACAGAAAATTAATCGTAAGAAAAATGCCAAGCTTCTCACGGAAGTATAAGTATCCAATTATTATTTATGCACGATAATGCACATCTTTATATATTCTGTACATTGTATGCATTTTTGTACTTTCAAATTTCCCATAAAATCCCACGGAAATCCGCGATCTAGTCATTACGATAGTGCTTTCTTTCTTCAAACAATTTCTGCCGTTCAATTCGATCACTGTTCGAGCTACGTTCGAACGTGATACTTCATCTGGTACCATTTAATCAGAGAGACCACCGCGTAACATTTAATTACAACATGGCTAAGCCGGCAGAGCAAATTAAGCTGTACAGTAACGGTAACCACGGATGACTAAATCGTCAAATGTAAATCGGGCCGTATAGTCTACGAATCGACTGTGCACAGGTATGGTCGTTGGTTTAAGCGCGCGTGGTTAAAGCATAAACCATGCGCTATAAATTGGATCTGACTAAAGATCCGCGGAATTCTACGTTAAATCGTTAGGAAATGAAGGAATTAGTCGATTCGTATTGGATCCAAACGTGTACGTGATCTTTTTGTAAAGATAAAAAAAGATACATATAAGTGTAACATAAAAATTAACATAAATCTGTTATCGTGCATAACACACTGCCATTGGACACGTAAATTCACGTAAAGAAAGAATTTCGCCGGTCGGTTCAAATGAAAGAAAAACTGTTGCCCCAATTGATTCTTTGAAGCACTATTTTACCTTGATCGACTAATTTTTCATTGTTTCAAATGCTCGATATATCATATGTTAGATTGACGTATGTGAAATGTCGTTTCTTCGAAGTTTGAATCTATCAATTATCAATTAATTATTAACTATATCGAAGAAGAAGAAATTTGTTACAAATGATGATTATTTTCAGTGTTCAGAAGATTTATGACAAAAATAATCAAACTGAATGATCAAAACAATTCTGCGACTTTCTTAGATAAATTTATACTTCTGAAGTGCTCTTCCCAAAGTTGCAGATGACATTTAAGATTAGGGAAAAGTTCAAGATAACTTACACAATTTTTTAACTCTCTTCTTATTGCATCGTCCACAGAAAAGCTGAATCGTTCAATTTCTATTGTTTTACGCTTTCGAAAAATTTCTAAACCACTTATCAAGTCTTTACTGTATTATGCAATCAGTTTTTTAGTCAAATCTTTAAAAGATCTTTCAAGAAAAATAAAATTTATTCTGAAAAATCGAGAGAAGTTTCACTAACAACGTAAACGATTTAGTTTACCTATGATGCATGAATTATTTAAAACAGACTACAAATAAAAAGTAAACTCGTTCTAAAAGATTTTAAATTACTAAATTGATCATTCTTATTTTGGGATTTGTTAGTGAGAAAAATATATTGAATCATCGTGGAAAATAATTGTTTCAATTAAATATTGAAATAACACTTTTAAATAAAAGCTACGCATAATCAAAATTATATTTGAAAAACGACACTTCACATACACCCCTAAGTCTAAAACAAAAATTATAAAGGATTTTCCTCTGTAATTTGTTATCGAAAATTCCTGTAAAATTCTAACCTGCGCTAATATGTAAGTAATTTTTATTAGACTTATCTACTAATTCACATTCGAAAAATGTGTTCAAATTCTTCAAAGAGTTATCCACTAATCAGAGTTTAACACCTTCACTGTTGCCAATTAATCAAATTGCCCTTCATCAAATCAAATACAAAATCATGTATTTATTTCTAATACTATTTATAAGGTAAATCAAATCAAAATTAAGGAAGACTTTCAAGCAGACTAAAATAACAGTGAACGCGTTAAAGTTCTCGCGATTGATCGACTTGAAACCTTGTTTTTATGGAACCACCACACGAAGACCGAGCTTAAAAGAAGACGAGAGTACGTGTTAATATAAAAAAGAAAGAAAGAGAATCAAAGTTTTTTGTACATACAATTAAGCGATTAAAATAAAATGAATCGGAGGAATGTGTTTACGATGTTCTCGCCAAGTTGTACGATACGATCGACGAATTCATCGATCATTTTCAGCATCGTCGTGAATGGATAGAAAAACAGAACATAAAAGTTCATTGTACCGAATGAAGTCTTTTTTAAGATGACTTGCGAAATTTCGTGGAAAAAAAAAGTTACGTAATAAATATCATTAA